CTTATAACTAACATTTGTGCGCGACGGATTGGATTTTGACGCTCTAATAGGTTAATGTACTATTAAAAAACTAAACTACACTACACTACACTAATTAATTAATTAAACTAAAGTAAATTAAACTACTAAATAAGAAATATATTATAGAAATACCAAAATACACAAATGACTGATCTTATTCAAAATACGGTAGGTATATTACTCAGTATTAGACGACACCGCGTTATAAAAACAAAAACTGTAAAAAATAGAATAGCATGAACAAAAACTAACATTTACAAAACATAGTGAATATTAGAGGGCGCCACTTGCGGCATTTTGCATGCCTTTAAAATGTCATAACTTTTTGGCTCCTTGGTATATCTGCCTCTTTGATATTTTTTTTTCATTTTCGATCTTTTTTATGTAAACAAACTTATAGGTAGATAGGTACCTCGCAGTTGTCGCGACCATAACTGTTTTCGATATATTGGTTTTTAAAATTTCCAATTGCAGCGAATTTAAATCATTTTGTAAGGATGAATATACGGAGCCTTCATAAATAATGTAATAAAAAATTTGGTAAAATTTCCCGAACTTTTCATGGTAACATGTTCAAGTAAAATTCATGTATAATTAATATATATTTTAAAGGCTAATTTTATTTTATATTATATAAATGTTACATGAATTGAACGTAAACAGTCCATGGCAACAGGAAGGTTTGAGGAATTTCCCGTGACCGCCGAGCAACCTTGCAACCAATATTGCAGGGCCGGTACTGGTAACGAAAAATCCCTCAATCTTGGCTTTACCAATATTAATGATTCGTTTACAATGACCAATGACAAACCGTTACGTTTACACTCGAGATAATGCCTAATTCTCTGTCTGTTCCGTTCTTGTCCTTGTTCCTGATCTTGTTATGTATCTGCTTCTGTTCATATTCCCGTTCTTTTTCTGTTGTTCTCGTTATCCTTTATTTTTATTTATTTCTGTTCCTATTTTTATTTTTAGTTCTATTTGTGGTTTTATTTTTCTTCTTGTGATTATTTTAGCTTTTGTAGTTGTTCTTATTCTTGTTCATATTTCTATTCTAGCTGTCGTTTTTTACTATTTCTCTGTCTGTTCCGTTCCTGTCCATGTTCTTGATCTTGTTATGTTTCTGCTTCTGTTCATATTCCCGTTCTTTTTCTATTGCTCTCCTTATCCTTTATATTTTTATTTATTTCTGTTCCTATTTTTATTTTTATTTCTATTTCTGTTTTTATTTTTCTTCTTGTGATTATTGTAGCTTTTGTAGTTGTTCTTATTCTTGTTCATATTCCTATTCTAGCTGCCGTTTTTGCCCTTATTCTGTTATTCTTCCTGTTTTTGTTTTCCTTGTTTACTATACCATACCTTTTAGAAGATGTTAGAGGAACTTTTATAGCCAAATAAATTGTGATTGCCATGAAATATGAAAAAAAAACAGTGAGAACACGAACATTAAAATAATGTTCATTAATACCTTAACCTTCGCTGACTTTGATTAACCAGTGAAATATTTCACTAATCAATGTTGTTTTTAAATATAATTTTAACGTTACTTTATGGTTCTTCAGCATCACAATGACGGGGAAGGGTATGTAGAATGACATCTAATATCAAAAAAGTAACCCGAAAGAAGTGACGCTAAGTTGGCAAATTGCAAAAGTGCCAAAATTACGTGTTTTTTCACTTTTTTTTACTGTCGATGTCCACGAAAATTTAGACGACATATCGGAAAATTTTTTATTTTATGTTGTAGGCAATTAAATTACCTACGAGTACAATTTAAGGTATCTGAAGTTATATTTCAGCAATTTGTTGGATGCAAAATAAACAAAGAACGCGTAAAAATCAGTTTTCGAAAATTGCGCATTATTATTGCAAAAAGATATGGATGTGGATGAAATATAGAAAAGAAGGTCAACCGAAAGACCAACATGTGTGCCAAAGGCCAATTCGAATGACCGTGAAATTGTCGAAAAAGAAAAGTTTCAATAAGTTGAAAATAAACAGCCCTTTACAACAAAGTAGGATGCATAAAACAGCGTTATAAACAAATTGTTCCAGGATCAGGCAAAAGCCGCTCTAGAAATCACTCATTTTACATTAAATAAAGCCTATTTTTACGGTAATTTTTTTAAAAAAGAGATAGATAGATAGATATTTATTAGTGTTAGTACACAACAAGTGTTTACACACGTCAAAAAAAATAATTATAGTAGTAATATAAAATCATTATGAAAAAAAAATAATAGTAAAATACAAATACAGCACGGTACACACGCGTATAACATATTAGGGTGAGATCACTTTTTAAAAACTCTTGCGTAGTATAAAATGCGTTGGTTAATAGAAAGTGTTTTATTTTTCTTTTAAATAAAGTAGGGTTGAGACGTACTGGAACTGGTAATGCATTAAAAAACTGGATGCCCAGATATGATGTGCCATTACGTGTTTTACTTAAGCGATGAAAGTTTAAGTTTATGTCATTATTGTTTCTAGTATTATGAAAGTGGATTTGGCTACGGACAGTAAACGACTCTTCATTTTCTTTTACGTACAAAAGACACTGGAGTATGTAAGTACATGGTAATGTTAAAATACCAAGTTTCTTAAACTGTGCTCTGCAGTCATCTCTGAATTTTAAACCCGAGATTATGCGAATGGCTTTTCTTTGAGTAGCAAAAACGGTATCAGCTGAAGGTGAATGACCCCAAATCAGGATTGCATAGGATATTTGGGAGTGAATAAGGCTATGATAAGCACGTTTTTTGAGATATTTTGCTAATCAAGTTGCGGATTAAATAAATACCCTTGGAGATCTTATTGCAGAGGTAGTGGGCGTGCCTGTCCCATTGCAATTTCGGATCCAAATATATTCCCAGAAATTTTACTGCATCAGGATTGTTTACATCGTCTATTTCACGCAAGCTGAACATCAATTTTTCGGTCTTAGATGCGTTTAGGCATAAGTTATTTGAAGTAAACCAATGTAATGCGTCATTCTCGATTATTGGAATGTCCACCGTCAGATCATCCAAAACATTATTGGCTATGGATAAGTTAGTGTCATCAGCAGAATCGCGAACACGTCGCGTCGTTTCTCACAGATTTTGGGAAATCATTTATATACAGTAGGAATAGTAGTGGTCCCAGAACAGAATCTTGAGGTACCCCGTAATTCAAATTTAATGTATTTGATTTGTAGTTGTTATGAACAACGTATTGTTGTCTATGATAGAGATACGACTGAATAAGTATTATGTTTTCGGGAGTACAACCGTATAATTGCAATTAAGTATATTATGACAGATCCAATCGAAGGCTTTGGTGAGGTTAACAAACATCGAACACACATACTTACCCTCATCAAACTCACTGTTTATAAATGAAGTCAACCTGTCTATTGCAAGTGTAGTTGACATATTACTTCTGAAACCGAATTGATTGGGACTGAAGAGATTAAGAGAAAGAGAAATAACCTACTCCTCTTTCTGGCCCAATATAGCTTTTTTGTAACGTTAATTATTGTTAGTTAACTATTGGATGTATAGGACCGGGAACTTCTATTTTCAGAAAGTTTTACATTGATAGTTCATGTAATAAACGCACCAGCAGCAGTAAAAGTTGACGTTAATGAACGGCCTGCATGCTGGAGATGGAGCGCCGGGCCCGCGCATGCGCGTGAACGTCGCTCTCGTCGCACGCGATATTTTTGACTTGAACGTTTCAAATTCAAATTATTTGCAATTTGTCAACTTAGCGTCACTTCTTTCGACTTACTTTTTTGATGTTATCATTCAACATAGGTACTCTACCCCGTCATAAAGTGCAATAAAATGTCTACTAATAATTTTTTCTAGTTCTCAGGTTTTATGATTTAATTCGACTGGAGTATAGCTAAGTTTGTTTCCTTCTTTGCCTTTACTTTAACTAGCCATTTTGCTAAAACTTAGTACGTTGACATAATTTTATGGGACAAAAAGTCACATACCAGAACTATGATAAATATCAATCCATACCTGTAATCCATACGCATACACTTAGAACAGAGATATTTTTGTAATGGAATAAGTATTTCAGATTTACTACAAAAAAGTTAGTGTTGATAAGATTTGATTACTCTTTATGTTGTTTTCGTAATACGTATTTTAATAACTGGCAGATTTTATGACAAACCGAAATAATTTAATAATGATATAAAAACTGTGTAAGTGTAAATTTTACAGGCATACATAAAATTTGAAATGCCATTTTTAATTTACCTTAATTGCATTTGCCAATATTTATAGACTGTATTTGTCATACATGTACCGTCGTAAATGCAATATCAAAGATTTTCCATCACTATACAAACTTCATTATCAGAAAAATGCTTTTATGATTTCTTAATCTACTGTGTTAATTACTTTAGCTGAATCTTAATAAAAATAAAAATTTAAGGTAAAACATTTATTTCATCGTTGTAGAGAACATTGAAAATTTCTAAAAAAAGTCGCATTCCAGATAAGATGGAGTACTTAGTTCTAGTGATTCTGGGACTGGGGTAAAAACAGGACCTATTTTCAAAATTGATATTAAATGATAAAATATCCGCATTTAGTGAGGAGTTGAGTTAAAAATTGTTCTCTTAGAAGGCAGAATGAACCGAAATGAATTAACAAATTTATATACATTGGAAATAAAATACAAAATTAAATAGGTAAAATATAAATTTTATGTTTTAATCAACGATTGTTTTTTTTTTACAAAAATGTTTAATAAATGAAATATAACAAGTAACCATCTAAGCTGCACTTGTACAGATGCGATGGTATATTGCTAAGTTTTTTAAACTAGTAAGTACATACCTACCTGTTTATGTACAGTAATAGGGACAATAATAAAAAGAAGGATAAAAGTGGAGACAGAGAACAAAGAGAACAAGTTTTTTAAACTTGTAAGTACAATAATAGGAACAATAATAAAAAGAAGGATAAAAGTGGAGACAGAGAATAAGGGAATATAGAAGAGAAAGGGGAAAACAAAGAAAAGAGAACAAAGAGAACAAAGAGGATAAAGAAAACAAAGAGAACAAAGAGAACGAAGAGAAAGAAAAGAACGAAGAGAACGAAGAGAAGGAAGAGAATGAAGAGAACAAAGAGAATAAAGAGAACAAGGAAAACAAATAAGCCGATCACAAATATGAATAAGGACAAATAGTATAGAAAAATGAACAAAAATAAGAACAATTACAAAAAGTACAACAAGAAGAGGAATAAGACCACAAGTAGGAACTGGAACGAAACAAGAACAAGAAAAGAAATAAAGAATAACGAGAACAGAAAAAGAATAACAACAGAATCAGAAACATAATAAAGTTAAGAACAAGTACAGGAACTGAACAGAAAGAGAAATAGGAACAAGAACAACCAAAAGAACAATAACAAGAATACGAAGAATAAAACAGGAACAGGAACAAGAATAGGAGTTAGAAAAGAAGTTAGAAGAAAGAAGAAAATGTAAATATCCATGAAGAAGAAATGTCATTATTTGTATTAAAAAATATTTTATTATAATATATTTTATCATATTAATTTATAAATTTGTGTTTGTATTTTTCCCGTAAATTTTTTATTTTTGATTAAAATGTAAGTAGAACACTGTATTCGAATTTTAAGACGAGCGTGAGCCGAAAAACAAAGAATGTTATCACAGTTAATTATAGCCGGACAAATGGCGTCAATTATAAGAATGCGCATTTTAATACCTCAACGTCAACTTTTATACCTCCTATGAACATGTTAAAGTAAATTTTCTAATTAAAAACAAAGTATCAGTTTCACACTCGTCATCTCGTCTTTGTCGACCCGCCCGTTCTATAATGATAGATTTTTATCGAAGGAACACGGTCCTACTTAACCGAGTAAATAAACTTATTTATTGACAAGGGCCTTAAGGTTAGGATGACCGCGCGCAGGCTTTCTTTTTCTAATTTTATCCACAAACATTTCGGTAAAATGAAAACGACGGCAGGGCCCCCGGGGTGGCGTAGGGGTCTTATCTGCTGATTGATAACGCGACCCGAGTTTAACTTGACCCACCCAGGTTGAAACAATTATCTAAAATAAAGAAGCGTTATCTCGGAGTGTAAATAGAGTCATCGGTTGGTGTCCTTTGAAAGAAGGTACGGTTCGGTTTCTGGAATTGGCGAATAGTTCACGGATGAAAATAAGGTGAAGATTTATAGACACATTTAAGTACAGAGGGTGTTTCGTATTGAGCGCGGTAACAATACCTTCTTGGAAATTGCAAGGCTTACATATATGGTATAATTTGATGTCTTTGTTTTAACAAATTTGCGTATTAATATCCCAACCAACTTGCATTGTACACACAATAGCAAATCAGCTAAAATCATTCGGCAGCTTAATCCACCAAACATATACCGGTTCCAAATCTATTAGTTCTTATCCGTATGCCAGATGTGGCAGCCGACTAATAATCCAGTTATTTTTAATATCTTAAATTTAGATATCGAGTGAGTTTAAATATCCGCAGCAATTTTTCAGTATGCCAATAATATTTCAGTTCATTAGCTGTAATTTTCCTCCATAAGTTACACGCCATCATACGACGCACGTCAAAAATCTGTATATGTTGCATTTTTTGAGGCCTTTATGCTCGTAAAAACAAATTTGAGATTCATGGCCAACTTTGTGAGTAGGTAATCATAAAAAACCGGAAAAGTACCGAAAGTTTAGGGTCTTCTAACTTTCTTATTTTAAGAGATAGAGAAAACTTATTTTAATAAAATTTCATGGCAAAACTGATATCTTTCGCCTAGTGTACAGATTTTTAAAATATCGTTTGTAATTTGCTGCGCCCTCTACGCGGGCAAAAGAAAATTGTCATCGAAGCAGGCTGTGGCTACAAAAAATTGCTTGGTTTTTCCTCTTTCATGCGATATACTACATGTTACCTGTATCTTTTATATTTATTACTTTTTTATAATTTTGGTTCAGAAAATGTAAACATTTTCGTGTTAATGTACAAATTGTTGTAGGCATGTTCAACTACAAAACATTTAATAAATATAATCTACTTCTTTTAAGCAAAATACACATTATTATAATATTGGTTTTTTACTTTAGAGAAAACTGAGCCTTCAACATTGTTCTTGCACAGACAAAGTAGCTTACGCCAAATGTATCACGCTATGAAAACAGTAATGTCATTATTTAAGAAATTGTTTATTTTTATAGTTTATACATAACTGTTGGTCTGGAAATTGTTACAGTTAACCGTGATTTGAAAAACTAAAATTTTGAATAATAATGATATTTTCATATATCGAGAAGTGTAATATGTTTGAAATAGATGAATTTCTATTGGACCAGTCAGACAAAAGTTTCATTATGCGCCGCTAGAGGGCATTTTACCTAGAACTCAAAATTCGTTTTGTTCATAACTTTTTTCTCTTGCTAGACATCACAGAAATTTAAACATTATTGCAAAGAGAAACAATATCAGAAAAAATTATGTACTCTTTATTCAAGTCGATATATGTAACCGTTTAGCAGAAAATCGTTATTAAAATGTTATTAAACATAAATTTTTGATAATTCTTTCTGCAATTAATCAAGTGGCCATGCTGTAATACCTTCTCTTATAAAACCAGCTTCGTTAGTAAATATTATTATTAAATTAATTATTCTCATCTTATTTTTCCACAATGCTACTACAGAACCGAAAAAAAAATATGGTGAAAAATCAAACTCATACATGCTTTAAATAATTTTTGTTACAGTTCGTAAAGCCAAAATTACTAATGACATTTTTCTGAAGCATAAAAATTGAACTTTGACAACCTGTAACCTGCAAACAATTGACAATTCGAAAAAAAATTTCATTTCATACTGCTTTTATTTTAATCCGTAGAAGCGAATTGTAACTGCGTACATTTTCAACTATAACTTTGTGCATTATGTATAATTTTGTTTGTAGTTTTAGTGTTTTAGTTATTTTGTACCTTGTCCGGTAGTAGGTGATTTCTCTGTCGAACAAATAAATATTATGTGTTAAATTTGACATGCCTAACCCTTCTGTAACTATTTCAGTTTAAACAGATATTGTATTAATAGGTTTGTTTTTTATTATTCAACCATTAAAATTAATCATTTTTAACAACGTAATAAGTTAGCAGAATATAAAGTAAATAGTTTCAAATTAGTTATGCCCAGTTCAGTTTCGCGAATCTCTAGCACATTTTTTTTTTTATAAAATGTATTTTATTTTCTCGCCGCTTAATATATTTGTTCTAGTTTCAAATTATACCAGTAACTATTCACTAGTTAAAGAAAGAATGTTGTTTCAAAGACATTCATGTTTCTGGAAGCATTAAGGAAGACTCTGTTTTAGGAAAAAAAGATATAAATTTTATTTTAAAAATTGATCAAGTTTATTATCTATTACAAACCTTTGAATATTTATATTTTGGTTGTACACGGTCAGAAATGGTTAAATGAAGATTCATTTTTGTCGTTTATGGCCTCCTTGATGATGATCTTCGAATGTTGAATTCTGAGCAATTTTTGGTCGTCAGTCAACGTGTGAGGAACAAACCGAACACACTTTTCGGTAGCCCAAATGTTCAGAGCCAAAATGTGATTGATGTTTTAGAGATGTTCAATTCCAATTCCATGAATTTAAATGAAGATTTTGGGCTGATTTTTGATGAATTCTCTACTACTCATGAACCGAGCCATGGGAAAAACAATTATCACCATAAACTTATTGGTTCATCAATTAAAACGTTTAGGTAAACGTTTTACCAAGTTTAAAACAAAACTTAATGTTAGCTCTTAGTTAGATGCTCATTTTTGTACCGATGACACAAAAATACTGTCACTTCAGAAGCGATAACTCTATTCGTCCAAATTAGTGCTGGCAAAAACCGGAAAAAAGTGAAACCGGTTAACCGGGNGCGCCAAAAGTTGTCCCCCTCAGAAGCAAACTTTACCTGTTTTTGGATTTTGCCGAAAAGTTCATTACTACCCTGTAATGCCTTGCGGTACGTTTTCGATGGGCTACCCTGTAATATTGGTTTTTTACTTTAGAGAAAACTGATCCTTCAACATTGTTCTTGCACAAAGTAGCTTACGCCAAATGTAGCGCGTTATGAAAACAAATATGTTATCCCAGTAATGTCATTATTTAACAAATTGTTTATTGTTATAGTTTATACATAACTGTTGGTTTGGAAATTGTTACAGTTAACTGTGATTTGAAAAACTAAAATTTTGAATAATAATGATATTTTCACATATTGAGAAGTGTAATATGTTTGTATTGTACCTACTATCAATGCAATTTCAATTCTAATCAAGCACTTACAGAATGTAGAAAACCTTCGCTAATAAAATAGGTAATTTTAACAGAATTTTAAATTATGTAAATAGGAAAAATGAGCAAAACAGTGAGAGATCGAAGTGAACTACAATTTAGAGAAGGATAGTGCAAGCATGATATTACGAAAAAATGATTTCAAATGTTATAAGGTAAAAAAAGTGCACCGCTTGAGCTTGAGGGAGGAAGATAAACCGAAGAGATTTTAGGGTTCTGTAGGTGGTAACAAGAAAGAAAGAGGGAAAATTCTTTTATGTGCAGAAGAATTCTCTGGTCAGATGATTCTAATTTTTGTAACAATGGACTTTTTAATAGGAACATTTACTTCAAATGGTAATTTATATTGTCACGGAGAAACTGCATTTCAACAGAGGTAAACGTTTGGGTTAGAATTCTTGATACCAAAATCATAGGACCTTACTTCTATGATGATAAATTCTTAGCTTCAAAAAAGTATATTATATTCATAAAATTTGTAGTTGTCCTGTTTAAAACAATTACTATAGGTATATACATTAATCAACATCTTTGATACCAAAATTATAAAAATGTAATAAATATTAAAGATAAAGGCAACTTGTAGTACATCGCATGAAAGAGGAAAAAACAAGCAATATTTTATATCCACATTCTGCTTCGATGACAATTTTTTTTTGTCCGAGTAGAGGGCGCAGCAAATTACATACGACACTTCAAAAATTTGTTTACTCCAGATGAAAGATATCAATTTTGCCATGAAATTTTATTATTTCTCTATCTCTTAAAATAAAAAAGTTAGACGGCT